TTTGTAAGTTCGCTTTGCCACAGAACACGGAAAAAGCAAATAACGGCGAAAAAAAAACAAAAAAACAGTAATCGCGGCAGGTGACAAAGCTTACGTATTACAAGTATACATTCCAAATCTGATGTGCGCAGGCACAATGCGCGTGTAAAAAGTCACGTCCATTGCCCCTGAGCACATGTCATTAGTTTGGCTAATTATATTCTGAACTTGGCATTTCTCTGGGACCATGTGTACTGCTCGACATGACAGGCTGTCTCTTATTCGCCCTGCAGAAAAGCAAGTCCACAATAAATTTTCAGGGCGTACCAATACCGCTATGCTCACCATTAACCGCAGCCGCACTCACGCGATACTAATGTCTTCGTTTTAATTAACTTCGGACCGTTGAATAACTTTTGAAACTCAGTTTCGAGTGTTAATATCGTTCTGATGTTAAGTCAGCTAATGAGAGAGTTGGCGAGATTCTAGGAGCACACGACATAATCAGCGCGTGAAACGGGGGAAGCCCATGGCACATGTTTCATAAAAGACGTGCTCCTGTTCTCCCTCCTTGGACGCGTTTTTTAGGTCATTTAGCTCTATAAAATTCAGCCGCGGCCGCTTGCAAACATTTTATTATTATTTGTGGTGCAGACGGCTTCGGTCGTAAAAGAAAGTGTTCAAAAACTCTCTTGAAAACGTAGTGAAAAAGAAATATTTTTACACGTTTTTATTTAGCCTTATATAGCAACCGGCATCGTAAGAAATGCAGCACCTGCTACGTCCCGAGCACCTGTTCATTTTCGTTCATATCGGCTAACGCCATGATTACAGTGCCTCTGGAACAATTTATATATTAATTTACTTATTTGTTCATGTTTTGTGGTCATGAATAGCTAATGCTTAAGCCATAATGCACCTTGATATGACTCTCGAGTCACGCCCCCCCCCCCCCCCCCCCTCTTTCGTTTCTTGAGCTGCTAATGGTTAAAACAGGGCTTTCAGCACTTTTTTTAATATTTCTTCCAACACAATTACAATTATTTTAAACTTAGCTGCGGGACAACTAGCACGTATTTATAATTTGATGTAAGCTTTTTTTTAGCTCAAGTTGAACTTTTTACTATAAATGACTGGATTCTTAGGGAATTCTGAACAATCCAGAACGTCTACTTTCCTGCAAAGCCACTCGGAAGAAAGAGCCAATTATCCACGGAGTGAACTCGGTGAACGAAGAAACGTAAAACTTGTTTAGGCCTAAGAAAAAAAAAAAAAAAAAGACTGCAATGTCAAATTAAGGACGACATTTCACACGCTTACGTAATGATCAGTGCCTCAGCGCAGATCATTTTCAAGACCCTATTTTCCTCCTCGTCATTGTTTAAATTTCCACCGAAGACTGGACCGGTTTGATCTCACAAGCATTTTACTGGAAAGGAGCTGCCCCCGAATTCTTCACGCGAAGCTATTCTTTATGGGTTTGATGAAGTTGGGAAGTACAACAATCGTTAACAAAGCACCTGGGAACAGTAAGCAGCACAAACTGATGGACGAATAAAGGGAGGACAGCCAATCCCCTCGTATGTTCATGTGAGCATATCATTATAAAGTTTCGAGCCTGCTATAGCAACCGACAGCTTGGAAAACATGAGGAGCGGCCTTTTCTGGTCAGGCGCCCTGCTCCGTGATTCATTCTTTTGCGTTCTTTTTTTTAGAGCGCATCTCTTAAGGCGCATTCACACAGCGGAAAGACGCGCGTTGTGGGGGGAATTTTTTGCTTATTTTTGTATTGAAAAAAGTCGCGCGCCGAGGAGGACGACGCAGGGAGACGACGCTTCGGAACCCAATTTCTCCCTCGACGCGCGCGCTTGAGCCAATCAGCGAGCGTCCGGACGTGACGTACGCCCTTTTCCGGTTAGGACATGTTTTTGCTGTTTTTTTTTTTTTTTTTTTTATTTTCGACTCACAATGAAGGCGAAAAGGCAGAGAGCTCGGGGGATTCGTGCACTCGCCGCCAAACGTGGCCGGAAGCATTTCAGCGTGGAAAGAAGCAAGCCGATTGGAACATCTGACAGTGAGCAGTGTTTTATGTGCGTGTAGAACGCCGTGAAGCAACTTTTCATCGGTTTGCGCGAAGCTGCCGCGATAGCTGCCACCGAAGTTCGCGGTGTGTTCCGACCTCCGACTGTGCGGGAGCGATCACTCCCAATGTGTTGTGTAGTTTTGTGTACACCCATCACTACGGAATACAACAGTCCTCCATCGAAAACACTTTCGCACAGGCTGCGTGCAGTGTTAAAGGTACGGACGCGAAGGCTCTGGGACGCGCCGGCGTAGCACCGTGCTTTGTTTGCACAAAAACGCGGCAAAAGAGCACCTGAAGCTGCCCGTTCGAGTCCGTGCCTTTCGCCAATGCTGCATATAACTGGAGTGTAAACGTATATATAATCATCACCGCTGTCCATTCAGTGAAGACGGTTGTCTCCCACCGCATATGCAATCGCGAAGGCAAGGCAACAACAATCATGCGAAGCAGACGAATAAATAAATTCCGTGTTCTCTCGACAAACGTGAGATTCCCCGAGACGACGCCGCCGTGGGGTGGTCCTGTGTGACTGCTTCGTATTTTACGACGCCGGCGTCGACGTCGACCGCAACGCGCGTTTTTTGCTCAGTGTGAATGCGCCTTTAGGCGCCCGTTTCCGGCTTGATCGGCGTCGCCGTCCCGTAACTGCGCGGTGCACTGTGGGAAACGTCCCATGATGCAACGCGCTCACTCGTGACCAGCGCGTTGCATTATGATTCGTTTCACACAATGACATCACACGTGACGTCACGAGAGATGAACGAGGGCCACGAGTGACGTCACGAGGGTCCCACGCGTTGGAATATGGGAAACGTCCCACGTGACGTCACGATGGTCACGAGTGACGTCACAAGGGTCCCGCGCGTTGCATTATGGGATGTTTTCTATAATAACGTCACATGTGACGTCATGAGGGAGGAGGGGAAGAGAAGGAGGGAGGAGGAGGAGGAGGATGGAGGAGGAGGAGAGGAGATGCCAGCTAGCCGTTGTGCAGGCAAGTGATATCACCATTCATAAATCACACAGACAGGCACGTATGAAAACGTGGTGTACTCATTATCCGAGTGGCCATCTATATGGTTACGGGTCTGTGCTGTACCCATCGATCTCTGTGGCACGCCAGACGAAGTTGGTAAATTGCGTGCCACCAGGGTCGACAACGGCTCGCTTGTGGTAGCTCTGTATCTCTCGTCCACGGCACTCACCGAACATTTCGTGCAAGACAAACAAGAACTTCGTACCAGTCATGCAAGAAAACATCCCATGGGCCCCGAGGGACGAGCTCTCGCTGTTCTGTTGTGCCATCTCGGGGGAGCACGCTCAAGACTAATGTTGAGGAAATCGAAACCGCTGCGCAGTCTTCAACAGAGCCGACAGGAAGTAGGATGACATCGAGGGTAGCACGTTCTTCGTTAAAGGGTCGACTTTAACGCCGTGTTGTTCCCCCGCCTTGATCCTTCTGTCGTGTTTCCTGGCACCGGCAGAACTTAGACAGCGAAGAGCTTCCAGATGTGAGAACTATATTTACTTTCTCCGGAGAAGCAATGAGCGACAATACCACAATAATCGAAATACCTTAATAGAGAAGGAGGAGCAGGAGAGGAGGGGAGGAGCACGGAAGGAGGGGAGGAGGGGAGGGTACGTATGAGAAGGAGGGGCATACCCTCCCCTCCGTACCCTCCCATCCTCCTCCTCAAGAGCTGGGCTCTAATTCAGCATTACAGGCAGTTGTAAGCGTCTTTCATTTTTTAATTAATTATTGCCAAAATCGTATTGCCTGGGAAGCAATAATATTATAGTCGGGACACTCCACGCCCTGCGCTTTCTAAGCTGGCAGTTACGACAGGCCGAATTATTTGGTTGCAAGCAAGTAACACCGCAGGGTTTGTGGCGGGAGCATGCAATAAGGGATGAGTGTAGGGCTGCCAAAACAATGTGTTTGGTTGCCCAACGCTCATTGATCAACACGAATCTACTTCGTGCCGTTGGAGTATGAGCGACTGCATCATTTCCTAATCTTCGGAATGCCAAATTTCGGGCCTGGCACGGGAAATGACAAACCGAAAGCTTTCCGCAGTTGTTTCTTCTTCCGTCGAATGACACCACCTAGAAACTGCTTTGACCGAAAACACAAACCGCGGGACGCATATGCGCTATATCAACCATGCGCTGTCAAACGAAGGTATTGATGAGGAGGCAAATTAGCCCCTGACCTTTTGCTGTCCACATTATTTATGCATTTGAAGGCTAGAAGTCGTTCAGATGTCATTAAATTGAATTTATCTCATACCTTATTATTTTTTTATATTTAAGCGGCTGCGTTTTTAACACTCATTTGCATTTACAAACGGAAGTTCTTTAAAACAAAACGTTAAATCTTTTTTTTTCCCGAAGTGCAATACTTGAGTGAAGTTTTCCGAGCCATGTATCACCAGTGTTTGCTGAAAAGGCTTAACAATATTCTCATCACATTGAATAACGCACTAAGCATAAGACAGCATCGGTTAGCGTAATGTTTTATCCATATTAAGTGTATTGGAAAGTCCACTACTATCACTGAGAAAATGAGAGCAGCTGGGAGACTCTCCGACTGTCTCACTTGCAGTGCGAAGTTCCCACCTTCAAGAGCCGTTTGGCGTCCCGTGAGCTTACATTATGCACGCGCAGCCAAAGTACGCTGGAAAGCAGCGAGGATGTGCTCGAGGCCGGTCATCAAAAAAGGGCGCCCTGTCGTATTCGTCCAGCCGATGTCTATAAAATAGTTAGCCCAACGGATTGTATGCACAGGCCGTGATTCCACAAGGAGGTGGCACAGTCACGAGGAAATGCGATAGCGCACAAAGGGAATCTTTAATAGCTTAGCCAGAGCTCGTAGAAGCTCTCGCTCGGAAGTGGTGATTTTTTATTAATTTTTTTTTTTATTATCGCGGCTTACCGAAGTAGGTGTTGCCGCTGATCGCAGCCGCTGTAGCATGAATCGAACGACGGTGGCTTGGTTCGATGCCGGCAGTGCCTGTCGGTTCTCTGTTCGCCGCCCATATCCACGCAGCGAACGGTCCGCATTCTCCAGCCCTGGCTGCAGTTGTCCTCAGTCACGCACGTTGACCACGGCCCTGGATGCAAAATACGCGGATGGATAGAACAAAATGCTACAATGTCTAGCATTATGAGAAAACCAATTGTTTGGTAATCTTTAAAAAGCATCTCGAAGTACATAAACTTGAAACAGTCCCGTACAAACCGCATGTTCGAATGAGCTGTTGGCTCGTTAGAGTTTGATTTAATATACAAGTGGTTCGTGAGCACTACAGTAAATGAGAGCTTGTGAAAGCCAGGGGGTTACTTATGTTCATGCTTCGTTATTCGTCCTTCGGCGTATCTATTGGCTCGTGCCGCTACCTCATTGCTTGTGCAGCGATAATTCGGTGGTAGGCAAGTGCTACGCCCCGCCTGTCTTCAGCGGTCAGTGCCTGCGTTTATTGGGATGCGGCCGGAGCGCATCGAATTAAAGTTTATCTGTTCAGATTGGTGGTAGATGGTTAAGAGACGAAGAAGTAGGGAGAAATATTGCGTGCGATTGATTCCCGCTCGACTCGGTGCGCTACGATCGTATTCATGAAAATCCAGTCAGTGACTATGGATGACTTATAACTAGGGTTCCGTGTTTTCGGAGTTTCTTGTTCAAATTCGGAGGAAGTTTTTCGAAATTTTTTTTCCCTTTAATTCGGAGCGTACCGGAGTTTTTATTTGTAAGATGGCCACGTCGCTGAAATTCGAATGTTGCATTTTAAAATGTTTCCATTTTGTTTGTAAAATAAATAATAGTCGGGCGTAAACGTGCTCTAGATCAAAAGAACGCGCTTCTATCATACAATACGTAATCAGCTGGATTTCGCGTTCACGCCCTTGTCATTAGTTATACTAAACTGTCCCACAACATAACTTGCAAATGAGTCTTACTAGAATGAGAAGTTGTTCTATTTCATATGAATTCATATTTCTATGCATGTCTTCTAAATAGATAATTGACAGTCAGCACCTCGTCCTGTGTGTTCTGTTTTCCTTCTCCTTGTCCATGTGTTATTCGCGCTGTTTTTCAATATAGATTGCAAATGAGTGTTGCTTGAATAAACGTGAATACTTTAAAAGCACTCAACCCTCGGAGGTTCTCACTGCGAAAATCATTTTCACTTCATCCTACTCCATCACCGTATTCCGCGCGCCTGCGTGGGGTGAAGTGGTAAAGGGTGCAATACACGAACTTCAACTTCCCCTCCTCGCTTTCGTTCGCCTTGCTATGAAATATTTTTATATGGTTCGCAACTCTCACTTTCACAAAAACACAGCCCTCCCTCCGTTTAAGAGTCAAATAAATCACGGTTCAAACTTGAAGCCCGAACAGCGGAATTTGTCGTGACCCGGCTTACAATAACCTCCTGCCCAGAATGAGCCTTGACAACGTAAACCGCAAAGCACCTATTGTTCATGATCCGAGATTTGTAAGAAAATAGGGCTGGTATTTCTCATGACCTTTGACCTTGTGCTCTGACCAAACGTAATTTTAGAATACCACATTTTTTGTGTGCACCGGAACACCAAAATTTGGTATTTTACGGATAAACCCGAATTGACGAGAATTTTATCGGCGTATTTTTTTGGAATTTTTCGGAGTCGCCGAAAAACACGGAACCCTACTTATGACCACGTGAGGCATGCCTACTATGTGAACGTGTCAGTTTAAAAAAATCATGTATTATAAAAAGATTAAAGGGCTTTATTTTTTCTAGATATCACCGTATGCTTGCATGGTTTAGTGATTTAAATTGACGCAGGAACCCCACAATGTAAAAATCAAATGTCTTAACCTTAAGATGCCCGTTTTCAGAAGCTCCCGCAAGCATGCTGCGACGCGAATCACCCATAACACCAACCATTATTCATTCTTTAATCATTTTGACGAATCACAAGTGCGAGCAATATCCCGCCTTTTTTTAGGCAATGTCACTGGCAAAAGTGCATCTACGCATGAGGCCGCTTGACCAATGGTGAAAAATAGTGACCACGCTTCTGGTTGATTGAAATGATTAGAGACTCACCAACACTTGCTGTTTTTACACAAAGAAAACAAGCTAGAAGCTTGTTTTCTTTGTGTAACATCAGGATAAAAGCCAACTATTCATTTTTGTTTGTTTGGACTAAGATAGGTCCGTGGAGGTGCCTGTATGTGCGTAGGGTCTCATCATTCCCTGATTAATTTTGAAGGGCGAAGAAATTCACTCGACGCTTGCACTGTAAAAGATTAGACGCATCGGGCATATTTACAATGGATGGTGTTTTGATCATAAACTTGCGCCTCAGGGAAAACAAGTATCCCGTTTGGAGGATAACTACCCTAAGCAACGGTGGACATGTAAAATATTCTGACGAAAAACTAAGGATTACTTTAGACCAACTAAGTATTTTATTTTCATGCAGCCATAACCACAGATATAATGTGCCTTCCCATGATTTAAGCTTCCATCAAATTGTGGACACCTTGGCCGGGATTCGAACCTGTTATCTTCGAGCCCGCAGGCTGTGATTTTCCCTCAGAACCTGATACTGCTACCAATTGTAAAGTGACATCAAGGTGACGACCCGTCTTTTTTGAGTTTCCTTGCAGTCAGGTAGGGCTGTCCGGCGTGAACGCATGGTTTCCGATAATAATAAAATGAAAAGAGGGGTGGGGGTAGTTGTCACATTTGTTATACAATAGAAAACAAAACACCAAACACAACACGAACAAGAAAACATAAAAGAGCGCTCTACTAGCAACCGAAATTAACAAAGAAACAGAAAACATATATTAACCTGCATATTAAGAACGTGTGGTTGGCACGTCAGCCACTACTGTGACCTGCAGATCGGGCTAACATTAAGCGAACTTTTGCCTAAACGCGGAAGTATTATACTATGTGTCTATAATTTTATAAAGCAAGTTTAAACGCTGATCCGGAGTTCAGACTAAATCGTTCATTGACGTTTCGTACGAACCATGCGAAACGTGCATCCTTTAAAAATTATCGTCAGGCGCATCCAACGAAGTACATGTTTCCGGGAAGAATCAGCGTCGTCTCTAGATAAGTGATATTAAAAGAGAGTGAAGCCTTTTGAAGGGAAATACAACTTCAACTTTTGGCTGCGGGGAAGGTAATCTACGGGCAAGCTTTCAGAAATGTGAGACGAGTCTTTACAAAAGAATTGAAACTCTGGCCTTTGTGCACAAAGGCGGACACGAAACAGCGACCCAATAAATAAAGTGCCTAGCCACTTTCTCTCCACATACCAGCATTGCCAGAAACCCCAAATCTGTGACTTGTTTGTTGAATGTGTGTATATATATATTCATTCCCTGAATTGCGAAATCGAAATGTTTTTATTCAGGGAGCAGACGGACATAATAATAAATTGGTTAAAATTATTATTTTCAATTATTATTGATTCACAAAAAAATTAACAAATGTAAATAAATAGAAACTTCAATCCAAATATTTTTTTAGAAATAAACCTAACAGGCCTATTGATCCTTACAAATACTTCGTGGATGTCTCTGAATTCTCGTTTTTATTTATTTTTTGTTAGATCTATATACGATTGGAATAACGTGCCCTGAAACAGTTAATGTTAATACTGCAAGTTCATTTTTGTTTGTACAAAACCTTGTCTCAAATTTGATGTCTAAATGAATGTCTGCTATCCATTATAAAGTGTTCTTTCTGAATATATGCCCACTCCTGCATTGGCCAGTTGACGGCTGATAGCATCGAATCAATATATGAGTATATGTGCATATATATATAAAGAGAGAGAGAGAGGGAGAGAGAGAGATACAGGGAGAGAGAGAGAAACGAACGAGAGCTAGGAGAGGACAAAATGAAAAACAGCGCGCAACAAACGGGGACATAGGAATAACAACAAAAAGAAACCAAATAAATGCCAGAAGGCTACATCGGCATCCACGCAAGTCGTTCTTTAGATTATTATTTTTAATACTGCTTTAAACACAACATGTTTTTGTGGCAAACTTGGCCTTACTTGCTTATCCTGCTCAAACACTCGAATGAGAAATCTGCACAGTCTTTTCTCTTATCTCCGCGTACTTAAAAGTTCGTCAAAATTTTGTAACTTTAAAAACTTAACTAATTAATAATTGAAAGATAGCCGAGTTGATGAATAGATACGAACACATGAAAAGGTGAAACATAGGGGACGGGGACGGAAACAGAAAGAAGTTTTGTTTCGGTCCCCGTGCTCTCTGTTTTATAATTTCACGTATTCTTATTTAACAGCTATACAGGTCTTTTTTTATTACTGATCTAATATGCAGGGTGTTTTTTATATACTTTCAGATTCGTTTAGAAATAGCCTTGTAAGCTACACCTATGCGGTTTGTGCAGTGGATTTATTCGGCCAAGGGGACATAGTATAGGGTGATATTCGCAACTATCAGTCGGCTAATTAAGTAAAATTTGTAAATTAGCTTTTTAATTAGTGCAAATAGACATATAGTTCCAAAGAGCAACTTGCTGAGCATCATCGAAAACATCTGAATCAACTCTTTTTAGAAGGATATAATGCCGGGGCAGCATTTCACGGCGTTCCGTAAAAACGCTCAATTCGGTCGCGTTTCTAGATTTCGGTTTCTTGTTGAAGCGCATCCCCGCGCCCGCGGTCCTGCTCCCCGGTGGTCGCGGCGCGAAGCCACTCACTCGCCTCCCCCGTAGAATGGAGGGAAGCAGGGAACACGTGTGTTGCGCGTCTCAGCCAATGGGGAGCAAGACCGCGGGCGCGGGGATGCGCTTCAAAAAGAAACCGCAAACTTGAAACGCGTCCAAATGGAGCAATTTTACGGAACGCCGTAAAATGCTGCCCCGGCATTATATTCTTCTAAAAAGAGTTGATTTAGTGGTTTTTGATGATGCTCAGCAAGTTTCCTTTTGGAACTATATGTCTATTTTCACTAATTAAAAAGCTAATTTACAAATTTTACTTAATTAGCCGACTGATAGTTGCGAATATCACCCTATACTAAGTCCTCTTGGCCGAATAAATTAACTGCACAAACCGCATAGGT